CCGGGGCTGAACCACCTGGAGCGCCTTCCGGCCGGCCCCAACGGCGTCCCGAAGCACTCGTACTGGCTGGACCTGTGGCTCTTCATCCTCCTGGACGTGATGCTGTTCGTGTTCTTCTATCTCTTGCCCTGGTGAGTGTCCCCAGCACACACGGGAGACCGTGTGTTCCTTTATTTAGTGTCCTCCCCGAAGATTTCTGGGGCGCCCCGGGCTGCCCTGGGGGGGGGGGTTTCGGGGGGACGGTGGAGGACCAGCTGGGGAGGACCTGCCCCCCCTCCTCCCGAGTCTCCGGGAAGGGATCGAGAGCGAGCGAGCTTGGCATCATCGCGATCGAATTAATGGTTCCCGCTGCAACCCCCTGGGAATGAGTCTCTGCACCACCAGGAAGCCACTGGAGAAACGATCCATTATTTTGATCCGGCAACCCAGACCCGCAAGAGATCAAGACACCTTTTTAGAGAGGATAGAGGACATGTATTGCCAGCGACCCGAACCAGGCTAGCGCCAGAAAGCAGCTCAGTTCCCTGGGCTTTATGCCGACTGGTCACAAAAACAGGTGATTAGTCAGAAAGCGATGGCCAGACGGGATGAGGGATGACGTCCACTCCGAGCCAGGTGTGAAATTTCTACCTCCCGGGCTTTCTGTTGTGATCCAGATACTCCTACCTGGTGAGCCTGACACCCACAATCCGGTGGACAGCCTCACCTTAGGCACTTTGCAGCACTTTTCTGGGAGCACAGTTCCTCGGGATCAGATTCCCTGTAATGTATTTAGTTTAATTTTATTTTACTTAGGGAGCTTGAACATGCATTCTTCCTTGCCTTTTTCAAAACACAAGGCTGGCATGCCCTATCACTTGAGCTGCAGCTCTACATCCAGCTTTTTGCAGGTTAGAATAAGGAGTCTCATGGCTTTTCCTGTCTGGGCTGGCTTCGAACTGCAGTCCCCAGAGCTCAGCCTCGCAAACAGTGCAGCACCATACAGTTTGGCGGGCAGGTGAAATGTTAGCTCAAAGATGTGGCATTTTGATGATGTGTAAGATATGTGATTGCAGCACATCCTCGAAATTAGCAGCTACCAGGGCATGTGTGGCTTAGTCAGTCACAACATTGCCTTCTGCCAATCAGTGAAAGAGAATGTGCTCTAATATGACCCACATAACAAGGACAAGTCCTTTTCTGAATCACTTGTAACTGATGAAACAGGACATGGCTCTTCATCTGTTGTTGGACTCAATCAGAGCCATTTCAATGGTTAATAGTACTTGATGCAAATACTATCAATATAACGATCAAAGGATGTGGTAGGAAGCAGGGAAAAGGCCAAAGTAACCAACTCAACTCTGCACAGAAGTGGACAGAACTTCATTAAGGGCAATAATTCCTTCCTTGGATCTGTCAGTAAACACTGTAAGCACAGAGGACAGAGGAGAGAAAAGAATTATTTTTAGGAAAATAAAAAGTGTAACCTTAAAAAAATTGCAATAGTTTATCAGGAGGATAATGAGAAGAAAGAAAGCCTGTGAAGGCTGCCAGGGCCATCTGCCAAGGCTGTGAGGGTTCATAAAGGCACTGCACCTGTAACTGAGTGTGAGGATGAATAGCAAGGTCAGTTGACACTATTTGACACAGTTTCTGCTGGCCCTTCACCATGAGCTTGATAATTAAATGGTGATGAAGTAAAAGGACATGAGTTCCAGGTACAGGAAGAAACAGCCACTCTATTGGCTCTTGTGGTTGCCAAGGAAATCCATGGGCATGTAATCTTTGAGTAAAACAACTAGATAGATAGGCTCAATATCATCAATTCAAGTTAAATGAGTGCCATGCATTCTTGGTTAAGTAAGGCCTTGTGACCTTCTGGTGTCAGCTCTGATTTTGGAAGTAGGATCAGGTCCCCCGAGCATGTCAAACAATGGCTTAAGGTCACTGATGGTTAACTTTAGATTAAGTCTAATCCAATTTCTGTCTCTCAAATTTTGAAAATTATTTAAAGTTATTAAATGATTAGTTTTTAATACAGGTATCTGAGGGTGGATTGTTGTTTCAGATATAATATGACTCACATAAGAAAAGGGAGATGAAACTTGAGTTTTTTCATCAACAATACACAGGCCCACAAAACAAAGATGTTGCTTTAAAACTGTAAAACAAACCCTGTGATAATTTTGGATTAGAATGAGTCAGGAGAATATCATCCATGTAATGCAGGAGAGGCTTCTCTAAAAGGCCGAAACACAGCAGCAATAAACTTGTCACAAAGTGGGGCTAAGCTATGCCCTGAGGCAAGACTTTGCAATGGTATCATTGTTTGGGTGCTTGACCATTCATGCTTGAAACCCTAAAAGCAAATTGAGGGCAATCCTTAGGGTGAAGAGGAATAGTTAAAAAAAAAAGCAAGCAAACAACAACAACAAAAAACCAAGTCTTTAAGATCAATAATAAGTAAGTAAAAATTTCAAAGGAATAGCAATTGGAGATGGCAAACCAGACTGTAAGGGACCCATTATTTTTATTATAGCATTAATTACTCTAAATCCTGTATAAGTCTCCATTGACCAGATTTGTTTTTTTAATTAAGAAAATAGGGTTATTCCATGGACTACTGGTAGGTTCCATATGTCCTGCTTTTAGCTGATCTTGAACTAATTCACATGTAAGGGACCACTGGTCCACCCACACAGGTTCCTTAGAAAGCCAAAGTAATGGAATCAGCAATCAAGGGTTGCATGGCAGGAAACATCAGGGCTCTTCCTGAAAACTTTCAAGCCTAATCCCAATCTGTTGGTCTTTTGATCAAACAGGAAATTTTCTGCCTTGTCCTGTTTTGCCCAGTCCTTGTATAGGATCATAGTTCCGTTTTAACATCGTATTTTTGATATCAGTGGGGTTCATAGGCAGGACTTCCATTTCCTTCAGAATGTCCCTACCCCAGAGATTAACAGGCAAGCCTGGAAGAGCATATGAGTGGGATATTTCAGTATGCCCCCGCATCTTTCCAAGGAAAATATTGAGCGCTTTGTTGAGGCGAGTTACTTTGTCCTATCTCCTATAACTGGGTGACAGCAGGTTACAGCAGCCATGCAGCTGGCCAGTGATGGCTGGAAACAATGGAAACCATCAGTTATCAAGGGTCTCTCGAATGCCTTTTCATTATGGTGGAAAATCAGTTCAGGGGTTCCTGTCTTATTTGCTGAACCCAATAATCATGGTCAGAGGATCCAGAACCTGAAGTACCCATCTTAGATTTTATACACTTTCCCTGTATTTGGTATAATGGTAATGGAACTAGTTGAGCCACTATTGTCTTGGGAGAGATGGTCATTATATTTTTAATAGTTTGTATCACTATCTTCATTTCACCCTCATAGTCAGAATCTATTAATCCAGGAAATACTTGTAAACCTTTCATGGTAAGTCCAATTCTCCCTACTGTTCCTACAGGCAGAGTTGTGCTAGGCCTGCTTTCTTTCAGCCTGCTCAGCTGCCCGTTCCAATTTCCAAAGCAGAAAGACACCACCAGATAAGCAGGCAGGAAGCACGGTCCTCCAGTCGGCCCGGGGCAGGGCGTCCCTGGCGAAGACTCCACAGCCCCCAGTGTGGAGGGGCAGGAGCAAGCCTGGCCTTTTCAATTCTTTCCGAGTCTCCAGGGGAACTGGCTTGTGCAGTCTATCATCCTGCTTGTCCTGGGCTCATGCTGCCTCTCTGTTCCCAGGTGGTAGGGCACTGCAATCCTTTGATCTGTCCTCTCTGCCCCTATGGCCCCCTGCCTAAGCCTTAGGTAAAGCTGTTTGCAAAGGGACATGCCGGCTGTAGGGCTAAGACGTAGAGAAGAGAACTCCTTTCCCTCTCCTGTGCTCCAAGTCACCGTCCACCACAGCAGAGACACATTCCCCAGGATCAATGGGGGACAAGGCCTCTGCGCAGCCTCACCTATCGAAAACCTTCCCAAGCTCTCAAGAAGAGGGGTGGAGGCCTTCTTCTGAAGAGCCCTTTGGACAATTCAAGTTGTGGAGGTTCAAGACAATCCTGAATTATATTGCACAAAGAGCAAGGTTTAGTAGGCATCTGTAGAGGACCCTTGGCAGGACAGCGAGGCTCGTCACAGCGCCACCTTCTCCCAGGTGTCCAGGCTAGCAGTCCCCTCCTCTGAGAAGCAAGGACAGTCTGCCCATGACACAGTGTGAGGAACTTTGCAACTGGGAGCCCTTAACATAGATGTCAGAACTTCAGTGAAGAGGTCCCACCCCCTGCTCTCACTTTGCCCCATTCTTCCCTCCAGCTGTTACCTTCTCAACTCACTCACTCACGCATCAAGTGCAGGTTTCTTCACCTGACTTCTTTGTATAGCCTTGTTTTCATGTCCTACTTGCGGGATACAGAGTACTCCAGAACCTGGAAGATTCTGGTGGGGAGGGAAGGGAACAAAAGACAAAAGATGGGGTTGGAAGGACCAAGTAGGCTGGCTGATAAACCAATGGCCAAGATCTTGGTCACCCAGTTTTATAGTCACACAAGCAGAATATTAACTTCCTCAGAAAACACAAAAGGTCAGTAGCAGCTGAAGATGACTTTCGGACAGTGGTTTTTCTGAGTACAAGCACATGTCACAGCTGTGGTTAGAACCGAATGTCTGCTTTGGTGCAAAGCATACCCGCCAGCACAGGTATACTGAATGAGGAAGAGAAGGTGAGCACTGCGAGAGTTGGTGCCTGGCCTTCCTCAGCAGCTACAGGACCCTGTCTGCAGCGTTAGCACCCACCCATTTGCCCTTCTTGATGGACAGTTGTGGTCTTCTCTCTCCAACCCAGCCCCTACATTTGGGGGAAGAATTTTTTTTGGTACATTTTTTTATTGTAAAAATATTGTACAGAGGGGTTACAGTTACATGAGTAAGGTAATGAGTACATTTCCTATAGAGCATTGTTGCCTCCTCCTTTGTTTTTCCCCTACCATCCCTTCCCTCCCACCTCCACAGCAATGCCCCCCGCCCCTACCAAGGTTGTAAAGTTCGTTTTCATCATAGTGTCTTGTACGTCTCATTGTTACAATGGGTCAGCCTGTATCCCTATTTAATCGTTTTGTTTTTTCCCTTTCCCTCCCCAAATTAGAGAAGTGTATATACAAGATGCAGGGTACCAACATCAAAAACAGTGAAAACAGGGGTTATATGGTGGGGGAGGAACACACAAAGAAACAAAAAATAATCACAAGGTACATTATAGAAACAGTAGCAAGAAAGAAAAAAAATATTTGTGTCCCTACCTTGGGGTTCATTTCGCTTAACATCATCTTATATGGTCATATGTACATAGCTTTTGACCTTTTCTACTTGTCCCAGATATACTAGTTATTGCAAATAAGGGAAACCATGGGACCTATATTTCTTTGGGCCTGGCTTATTTCACTATGATATTTTCCAAGTCTTTCCATTTCCTAACAAATGGGGCAATGTGATTCTTTCTGATGGAAGCATAGAATTCCATTGTATATGTATATACCACATTTTCTTGATCCATTCATCTACTGAGGGGTATCTGGTTTGGTTCCATATCTTAGCTATGGTAAATAATGCTGCAATAAACATGGTTGTGCTGGTAGCCTTAGTATGGCCTTGTTTGTGATCGTTTGGGTAAATGCTCAAAAGTGGGATTGCTGGGTCATAGGGGAGCTCTATGTGGAGTCTTTTGAGGAACCTCCATACTGCTTTCCAAAGTGGTTGAACAAGTTTACATTCCCACCAACAATGCAGTAGGGTTCCCTTCTGTCCACATCGCCTCCAGCATCTGTTATTAAAATTCTTGATTATAGCCATTCTAACTGGGGTGAGATAGAATCTCAATGTTGTTTTGATTTGCATTTCTTTTATGGCTAGAGAGGTTGAGCATTTCTTCATGTGTCTATTGGCCATTCTTATTTACTCTTTGGAAATGTTTCTCCTTAACCCTTTAACCCACTTATTTATCCAGCAATTGTTTCTTTGAGGATTTGTTGTTGGGAGATTTAGTTTTTTGAGTTCCACGTATATTTTAGATATGGAACCCTTGTCCATTATATGGCTAGTGAAGATCTCCCAATCCGTGGGCTTTCTATTGATCTTGCTAGCTATGCCCTCTGCCATGTAGAAGCTCTGCAGTTTCATGCAATCCCATTTGTCCAACCTTTCTTTGGTTTGTTGTGTTTCTGGGTCTCTATTAAGAAAATTTCGGCCTGTGCCAAGGAGACCTAGGGTTTCTCCTATTCCGTCCTGTAATGTTTTCAGGGTGTCTGCTTTGACTTCGAGGTCTTTGATCCATTTGGAATTGATTCTATGCAGGGTAATATAGGAGGATCTAGCTTTAGTTTTCTACAGGTGATTAACCAGTTTTGCCAGCACCATTTACTGAAGAGGCTGTCTTTCTTCTATTCTAGTATTTTAGCTCCCTTATCGAAGAGTAGGTGGCTGTAGGTCTGTGGGTTCATTTCTGGGTTTTCAGTTCTATTCCATTGGTCTTCTGGTCTGTTCTTGTGCCCATACTAAGCTGTTTTGATTACTATGGCTCTGTAGTAGTTTGAAATTTGGTACTAATAATACTCTAGTACTGTTCTTTCTGTTAAGGATTGTTTTTGCTATTCAGGGTCTTTTATTGTTCCATGTGAATTTTTGGATTGCTTCTTCTATTTCCTTGAAGAATGAGGTTGGAATATTGATAGGTATCGCATTGAATTTGTAGATAACCTTGGATAGTATTGCTATTTTCATGATGTTTCCTTCCAATTCAGGAGCATGGGTGGTTTTTCCACTTCTAAGTTCTGCTTTGATTTCCTCTTTCAGGTTTTTAAAAGTTTTCATTGTAAAGGTCCTTCACGTCTTTAGTTAACTCCTAGATACATTATTTTTTGTGGGGCTATTACAAAAAAGAGTTGCTTTCCTCATTTCAGCCGTGCTCTTCTCATTGTTGTCATACAGAAAAGCCATTGATTTTTGAGTGTTAATTTTATACCCTGCTACTTTGCCAAAGTTTCGAATCAGCTGGAGTAATTTGGGAGTGCAGTCCTTAATGGTGAAAAACTACAGCCATTTCCTCTAAACTCAGGAACGAGAAAAGGTTGTCCACTCTCTCCACTGCTCTTCAATTTAGTATTAGAATGCCTAGCTACAGCAGTATGACAAGATGCAAACATAAAGAGGATCCAAATAGGGAAAGATGAAGTAAAACTCTCCCTCTTTGGGAAGAATTTGAGTAGCTTAAGCATCACTGTCCATGAATTCCTTGGGTGGTATGGTAGAATAGAAGGCAGAAGGTTGAATTGGGAGGGCAGTGAAAGGGATGAGCATTTTTATAAATTTCTCTTTCAAGCCATTTTAGTTTTTACCTCCACCTCATTTTTTGGTAGAGACAGAGGTCTTGAATGATGTTTTTTTTTGATGACCTGATCTTTTTGTTGTTGTTGTTCTTGGTAAATAATACAAATGTGAAAAACATGGTCAAAGCCTGTTATTTTCCCTTCTCATCTGTGTCAGTCCTTTAAGGGTACATCAAGTCACCAAGATAATGAAGATTTTCAAACTTTGGCATAAGGGTTCCAATGTTCATAAATGCTTGCTTTTTGCAGACTGGCTTGCTGTTATATCAAGATGTCTCAAGAAGTCAAGCAAATTCTGGAAACAACAAACTTCTTGCATGAAGAAGGATTTCATGGCAGCAGAATTTCACACTCCGGAGGAACTTGTATGCATTTTGTTCACTCATTTGGAAAACTCTCAAATGAGTAATAACAGGACTCTTTCACAGCTACATTTTTAAAATTAGACCCATTGGTTCATGTTTAAAAAACTCTTCAAATATCTGATGACTTTCCAAGGCACCAAATTAAAAAAAAACTTGTACTTAGAGGTTTGATATATTCATTAAAAAGTATAGTCTTTCTTTTAACATTTTAAGGGTTGATCAATGTTTTCTCTGTGCAAATAATACGTGCATTGAAATGAGGTATTGAAATATTCAAAAGTAACTTGTTCGAAAGCAAGTCAAGTATTTTTGAGAGAGGAAACCAGTATTGTAGGTTGTCTAGAAATTTATATATAACCTCTCGTTATCTAGCTATATATAAATAACAAAAAAGGTAACTGCAAATAGAGGCCACCTGTGTTCGCTGTAGTGATCTCTGACATTGAGACTCAGGTAAAAAACAATCTTGGTTGACAGTGAGATATATTCATTGAGAAAGTAGTAAGATTTATAGTAGTGGAAAACTATGGAACGTGTCCTCATACCACAGTCCCTTCCTTTAAACCTCCTAAAATAGCATTGTATGTTTCTAACCCAGTTTACCTTTAAAATTTTTCCTGATCCCTGTGCTTGAACTCAGGGCGTAGGTGCGGTCCCTGAGCTTTTTTTGCTCAAGGGTAGTATTTTACCACTTGAGCCACACCTCTCCTAGTGATTTTGTTTTGTTTTTTAAATTTATTGGAGATAAGAGTCTCTTTAACTCTCCCTGACAAGAGTCTTTTTAACTTTCCTGCCTGGGGTTGGCTTAGAAGCCAGAGTCTTCAGATCTCAGCCTTCTGAGTAACTAGGATTGTAAGTGTGAAATCATCACTGCCTGGCTTTTATTTGTATCTTAAGTATGCTTGTAGTCAAAATATTTGCACAATGCCTTGTGGTGTTTACTCATACCACTCATTCCATATCACTTCTATCCAATCCTTGCCTTCATAAAGTTTACTTTCCCACTAGGTATTTTCTTTTTACAATTGAAAAAAATTTTTAACAAGAAAGAATTCACATTCCTGGTTAGTCAGCTAACATTTAATCAGAAGGGCCTCACTCCCAAAGAGGCTTCTATAAACACTTTGGGAGTTATTTTATTGGCCCTGAAGGTTTTATACAATGGCTTTTGTAGTTGAAATCATAAATATTTGAGAGCTATTCCTTTATGATCAAGGCATAAGATCCAGTAAACTGTACATTCCCTACCTTTCCAAATGGCTCATGGCTAGAATCAGGTCTGAAATTTATTTTGGAGGATGTTTTTTCTTTTGTGGCACTGGGATTTGAACTCAGTCTCAAGCTTGATAGGTCAGTTCCCACCAAGTAACCAGATACCAAGGTTTTTCTTTTCCCGGGGGGGGAGGGGGGGGGCGGGGCGGCGGCTAGTATCAGACCTTGATTCTCTTCTACCCGGCTGGCTGGGGCCATAAACACATACCACCACCCACGCTTACTCGCTTACTTTTGAAATAAGGTCCCTAAGTGGGCTGTCCTTGAATCAGGATTTTCCTGCTTGTATTTCATGAGTGGTTAGAATTACAGGTATTCATCTGTACTGTACCTGGCCGTTTTGCAGGATTATAATTGGCTTACTGACTATAAGCTTAATAATGTCTTTATAGTATGGTTGCATTTGTCAAGAGAACCTTTTGTGAAAATTGTGGCTAAAGAATCTAGACTCTAAAGCAACTCTAGAGCTGGAGTTAACCAGATTGTGTGGCCTGTTTTTGCATTGTTTGCTGGTCATTTCCTCTAATAAACTTTGGACTTATGTACCGTAGCTGTGTTTGGTTTTATTCTGTCATGTGGTGAAAGGTAAATTAGTAGTTCATGCATGTCTTATTTTTTGTGTGTGCTGCGCCTGAGGCTTGAACTAAGGATTTAGGGCACTATCCCTGAGCATCTTTTCTTTTGCTTAAGGTTTAGTGCACTATCACTTGAGCCACAGCTCCCATTCCAGCTTTTTTGGGGGGTAGTGTATTGGAGAGCCTCACAGACTTCTTGAGCTGGCTTTGAACCTTGGTCTTCAGCTCTCGGTCTCCTGAGTAGCTAGGATTACATATGTGAGCAATGTGTACCTGGTACACATAGCTTTAAAAACTTAAAGTTTAAAATAGCTTTAAAAAGTTGTACTGCCATTTGAGGTTAAAGTCAGCCCCAACTCTCAGAGAGTACAGTGAAGATGGAGAGTTTGGGCTAAGGGTCAGAGAAAGCTAGTGAAACATTTATATGTAGGTATTTCCATGAGAGTGTTTCTGGAAGAGAGCAGAAGATAAGCAGAACCTAAAAGTGCAAAAGAGATGCAGTCTTCAGTATGGGTAAGCCTCATCCAATCATTTCAGGGCGTAGTTGAAATAAAAACACACAAATTCTTTGAGCCAGGATGCCTTTACTGGTTCTCTTGATTCGTGGGCCTTCAAACTTGGACGGGAGCCCTGATTCACAGGCATTCGGGTTTCCTGGGCTTCTGGCTGACAGTGGGCAGAACAGGGATTTAGGAACCTCAATAGTCACATGACCTCATTCCTTACAAACAATTTCTTTTTGTGTATATATCCTGTTTCTCTGGGGAATCCTCACACATAAATGGGTGACTGTAAACTGTAATGGTATGACCGTAGGATCTTTTCCTGTGCCATCGAACTGTGCCACTTTTTAGTGAACTGTTTACATTGACTACACTTTGGAAGGCTTTTAGAAGTACCTGAATGTGAAAACAAGAAAAGATAAAAACTTGTGACAACAAACATCAAGGGTAATTGAAATGATTTTAATCAGATAGATTCTGATAGAAATTTCACATACTTGACTTCATATAGATGAAATAATATTTTGAAATGAACTGGCATATTAGCAGTTGTAAGGAACAGTTTTTAGGGGTATATTAACTTGAAAGGTTTAGAGCTCCAATTACTCCTTAAGAGACAACGTGGGACTACATCAAAACCAGATATTTATGTTGTGTGTTTAATGTAAATTGTACTTAAGACAATCAAATCAGGGCTAGTGGGCTAAATTTGGCTCACTACATTCACCTTTCTTTTCTTGCACTGGTACTGTGGTTTGAACTCTGAGCCTGGTAATGTCCCTTAGCTTTTTCAATCAAGGCTGGCATTCTACCACTTGTGACACACTGTTGCTTTGCTTCTAGCTTTTTGGCAAAAAGCTAACAGTCTCACAGACTTTCCTTGCTAGGCTTACAAATGTGTCACTTGTGCCCAGCATTACCCATATTTTATAAGGCAGGACTTTGAAAAAGAATGGTTTGTGTGTTTTGAAATGATTGGGGGAAAAAAAAATCAAGGCTTTCAGAATATGTCAAAATTACATGCAATCCAGATTTCAATATTGATAGTTTTACTAGAAAGAATACAGGCTCAGTTACTTACATATTCTTTAAGGCTGTTTTAATACAGCAGAAAGGTAGACATTAAGAATGC